TGATCTTTTTAAGTTCTTTATAGATTCGAGATAGTAGACCTTTGTCTGAGGAAGAGCAGGTGAAGATTTTTTCCCACATTGTGGGTTGTCTCTTCACACCTGCACCTGTAACTTAATGGAAGAGAAGTTTACTTTGACTCATGTTTTAGAAGTTTTAGTCCTTGCTGGCTCCATGCAGAAGCAGACCAGGTAGAGGGGCCTGAGCAGAGGAAAGCTGCTCACCTCATGGCAGAGAGTGAAGGGAGGAGCTGGGGAGGGAGATACATCATTCTAGGCCACATCCCCAGTTACCCACCTCTTCCAACCAGACCCCACCTTCTAACATTCCATTCACCTATAAACTCATCTGTGGACTAATTACCAATAAGTACAGCACCCTCATTCATCCAATCACCTCCCAAGTCCCACTGCTGCACATATTTGGGGGGACATCCCAATATAAACCATAACATGCCACCCCAGACCCCAAAAGGCTCATGTGCATGAATCTCTTTACGTAAAATGCATTTTGTCCATTTCTAAGCATTGCCAAAGTTCAGCATTGCTGAAAAGTCCATGTCCAAAGTCTCCTCTGAGACTTAAGACAAGCTCTTAGTTGTGAGTTGTTGTAAAAATAAAAAAGAAAGTTAAAAACTGCCAAGATACAAAGGGATATGGTAACTACTTGTTATGGCTTGTGTTTAGATGTCCCCACAAAGCCTCATGCTTCTTCTAGGTGGCTGAATCTAGAGTGTGTGATTGATTCACGGTGGGGTTAGGCCTGAGGGCACTAGGATTAAGGATGTGAGTGCTACCTGCCCTAAGTAGTCTGGATAAGATAAAAGGGGCAGAAAGATGCTGTTAAGGTCCCTTGCTGTTTGGCTACCTTGTGCGCATCATGTTGTTTCTCCTCTGCAATGCCTGTTTGCCATCCCTGCCTTGGAGCCAGGAAATTATGGACTGAAATCCTTATAAACCGTGAGCAAATAAACCCTTTCCCCTTTAACTTTGGGTGTCAGGTATTTTGTCTCAGCAATGAGGGAAAAGTAACTAAGACATTACTCCTATTTCAAAAGGAAGGACTAGGGAGATTAAAACCAATGGGACCAAAGTAAGACTGAAATCCAGTAGGGCAAACATTAAATCCTGTAACTCCATGCTCCATGTCATGGGTTGTATCTAGATGTCTCCCCAAAACCTCGTATGATCATAGGTGGGGAGTTTTGAAGGTGGTTGGATTAGGGTGTGTGAATGTGGGTAAAGGGTGTGATACTGGGATTAAGGATGTGGATAATGGAAGCCCCTCCCTGGGTGTGGGTGACACCTGGATATAAAGGATATATTCTCCCTGAATATAAAGGGAGAAAGGAAAGACAGGCTCGCTGCTGCTTGCTGCTTGCTGCCTCCTGCCTGCTTTGCCATGGATTGTTTTTTTTCTGCAATGGCCCTCTGCCATGTCACCCTGCTTTGGAGACAGCCAACTATGTACTAAAACCTCTATAAACTGTAAGCTGAAATAAAACCTTTCCTTCTTAACTTTGGGTGTTGGATATTTTCTCTCAGCAGTGAAAACAACAATTAAGACATTCCATGTCCAGCACCCAGGGCAAGCTGTGGCAAGATGCGAACTCTAAAGGGCTTAGGCGGTCCTGTCCTTACAGCATTGCCAATGGTTGTAGCTCTCATGGCTTTCCTCTTGGGCTGGCTTTCCTGATTCCTTGTGGCTTTCCTTAGGTATTCCATGATTCTGGAAATTCCAACTTGCACTTTTGGCTTCATCTCACAGCTTCACAAATTGCCTTCTCAGGGGCACACTGCTTGGTCTTCGAGGTCTTCTGAAACCTGGATGGAAAGCTCTCTGATCCCACAACTCTTGCTTCTGCATGCCTGTAAAACTAGCCCTACATAAATGATGCCAAGGTCTTGGGCCAGCTTAAGCAATAGCCAGGCCACCTAGATTTGAGGCTGCAATGGCCTCTGAATTCCTGTATGGCTGAGCATTGTGACTTGAATCCCTGGGAACCAATGCCCTAGGCTGCCCTTCTCAAGCAGGGTGCCCTGGGACTCTACTCTCAAAGCAAATCCTTACAACCTGCACTGTGAGGAATCTGTGAAGGTAGGGGTCTTGCTAATTCTTGTAATGCACCCAAGCCATTTTTCCTATTGTCCTTATCCAAAGTATTTGGCTTCTTTTCTTTTTTTTTTTTCCTTCTGTATCTGGGATTGAACTCAGGACCTTGCGTTTGCATGGCAGGCACCGGCACCACTGAGCTAAATCCCTCGCCCATATTTGGCTTCTTTTTAATGCTAATCATTTTAGTAATCAAGCTCTCCTCTGCTCCAACTTTATAGGTCCTTCCTTTCTGGGGAAACTGTAAACTTATCAAATGGGCTTTTTCCTCCCAATTTTCAGTATAAACCTGGCTAAAAGCAGCAAGCAGTATCCATACTACAGCCTGAATTTTAGGCTGCCTTGAAATTTCCTTTACCAGATTAAAATCTACCATGTTTAGTCAGTCGCCCACCAAGGCTCTGGACATGAGCAAAATGGAAACAAATTTTCTGCTACAGCATAACACACATGGACTAAAAAATCCTACTGTCAATGCAGTCCTTGTTCCCACCTGAACAGGATACCATCAGGTCTGCAGGGAAAGGCAGCTGTGCAGCACCATGCCCTAGCCCTCGGTTCCAGGAAGTCTGAGTACAGCTACACCACCCTTGGTTCCAAGAAACATCTGGAATGCTGCCTGTTACGAGGAGTGTGGCTACACTATCTAGGCCCCCAGACTCCTCTGAGCTGCAGACGTTGTCCTCTGCTGTAAGAAGCCCTCAAGGTCAACCACTGGTTGACCACAGCGGGTCTTAAGGCACCCCTGACCAGAAACATCTCTTCAAGGCCATGCTTCAAATACCACTAGAAGTCACTGGGCTAGGAGATGCTGCCACCTGGGATTCCTCCCAAGCCATGTCCTTACTGCGGGAGACCCCACTGGAAGTCAGACTGTCCCAGGCTGGCAGCCACCTCTGGGTCATGATCTCAGGGACCCCCAAGCGGCTCCTTCCCAGACCTTCTTGGCCTGACCAATGAAACTGAAGCTGCCTGAAGGCCTTAGAGGGGCCCCCTGCCCATCTCAGATGCTGAACTTTGGGTTACTTACAGTGGAAGGTAAGTCCATTCCTTTCCTGGTCTACACAGGGGCCACTTATTCCACTCATCCTTCTTTCCAAGGACTGATCTTTCTGGCCCTGACTACTATTGTGGGCACTGGCAGCAAAGTTTTCAGACCTTTCAAAACCCCCTCATGCTGGTGTCATTTGGCTCGACACCTTCTCCCACACTCATTCTTAGTCATCCCCACCTGTCTTGTCCTTTTAGGGTGAGACATCTTAACCAAGTTGTCAGCTACTCTAACCATCCCCGGGACACGACCAATACTTACAGCTGCCCTAACGTCTCCTCCTCAGCAACCCCCTGCTCCTATGATTGCCCCTCATCTCAACGCTAGGGTCAGGGATACTTCCACTCTGTTCCTGGCTTCATCTCAACAACTGCTTGCTATCCCTCTCATGCCAGACCACCTGGACCCTGCCCAATGACAGTGTCCCATCCCCGACCTGGCTTTGCAGAGCTTATAACCTACCATTTCTCACCTATTATGACATAGTCTCTTCATCCCCACCAACTCCCCTTACAACTCCTGAACTCTCCTTGTACAGAGGCAGATGGCACTTACAAATTGGTGCAAGACCTCCATGCTATCAGTCAGATTTTCCCTCTCATACACTCCATGGTGGCAAACCCCGACACCCTCTGTCCTCTGTTCCTCCGTCTACCACTCATTGCTCTGTCTTAGATCTAAAAGATGCCTTTTTCACTATCTCCCTGCACCTTTCCTCACGGCCTCTTTTCACCTTCACCTGGACAGACCCTGACACTGGTCAGCCCCAACAGCTGACCTGGGCCACCTTGCCACAGGGTTTCCGGGACAGCCCCCATTACTTCAGTGAGGCCTTTGCCCATGGTTTGCTCTTCTTTCACCCCTCTTCCTCTCATCTCATACAGTATGTAGATGACCTCTTCCTCAGCAGCCCCTCCTACAAGTCATCCCCTCTGTCTACGAGACTCTCCCCAGTGGGTACATCACTCCCAGGTAAAGCTGTGTCCTGCTGATAACTTGCCTGGCCCCTCCTCATGGAAATCACAACTTCCCTCAGGCTGTCCAAAATTCCAGAAGACACCTAAATGTCCTGTCCCTGCCTATCCTGCTGCTTCACCCACTTCCTTCATTTGGTCTGCCTTGATCTTCCTTGGTTTCCTCAGGCCCTCACCTTCAAGTCATACACCACCTTCACCTTCAGGAAACATCTGGACCACTGCCCATTCCAAGGAGTGAAGAATGTGGCTACACTATCTCTGCCCCCAGACTCTTCAAGGCAGTAGCTCCTTGGACTGACTGATGCCTGGCAACCACCTCCAATGCCTGGCAACCACCTTCCCCTTAACCTCTCCCTTAAAAAATTTTTGCTTGGGCTGGGGATTTAGCTCAGTGGTTCCACCACCTGCCTTGCAAGTGCAAGGTCCCAAGTTCAATCCCCGGTACCAAAAAAAAAAAAAAATCTTCGCTCTCCTCTTGCTCATTGCTGACTCCCTTTTTGGACTCAGCCTGCTCCTGCCTGAGTGTGAAATAAACAGCTTTGTTGATCACACAAAGCCTACCCATGTGGTCTCTCTACTCTCTGCACCTTCAATATATCTACCTTCCACATTTCTCTCAGCAATCTGTTTTTCTGAGCTCAGACCAGAATCTCCTATCAAGCATGCCCTACAGAATTCTAGGGCTTCTTCTCCAGCTAGCTGCTCTAAACCTTTCCCAACTGCTCCCTCAAACTGATTCCAAAGGCTTCTGAACCACATGGTCAGGTAGTCACAATGATAACCCTACTTCTCTGGAACCATAATCTGTCTCTGTCACTTTCTTCCTCACTAGGACAAGGTAACTGTCACCCACAACTTAAAGGACAAGAGGTGTATCAGTCAATGCTTACTAGAGAAACAGACTTAATGCAAGATATACAAATACATAAGAATTTACAAGACTGGATTACAATGGCCACCTGCAGAGTCAGATATGGGAGAGTGCACAAGGTCTGTCTACAATGGGGATCAGAAGGATCCAGTCGAAGGCTTGGAGCTCACTGTAGTGTCCTGTGGGAGTCCATATCAGGAGGCTGTGATCGAAGCCTTGATCTGTGATGGATCAGAGGGTCTGTGATAGAGGCTGAAGGGTCTGTGCTGGAAGGCTGAAGACAATGTCCAAGGTGAAGGCAAAGACTGGAGTTTCTCTGGAGAAACAGAAGCAGCCTTCCTGCTTTGTTTCCCCTTTATACCACTCAGGTGACAAGCTGCCCTAGGGTGGGTCTTCTGTCTTCAGAAAATCCCCTCAGCCACACTCAGAACTATGCTGATCCAATTTAGTTGGGAATTTCTTAATTAAGTTTACACAATCATTTAACTATCACAAGAGGTTTACTGTGGTTTATGATTTAGAAGTTTTAGGGCCGGGGATTTAGCTCAGTGGTTCTGCTGCCTGCCTTGCAAGTGCAAGGTCCTGAGTTAGATCCCCAGTACCAAAAAAACAAAAAAAAAGAAGTTTCATTCCTTGCACGGGCAGCTGGCTTCATGCAGAAGTGACGCGGTAGAAGGGTCTGGGCAGAGTGAAGGGAGGAGAGACTGGGGAGGGAGATACATCATTCCAGGCCACGTCCCCAGTTACTTGCCTCTTCCACCCAGACCCCACCTCCTAACACTGCATTTACTTGTAAACTCATGGGTGGACAAATCAGCAATGAATATAGCATCTCGGAGGATCCAGTCACATGCCAAAGCCCCACGTCTGCACACACCAGGCTTTGGGGAACATGTAGATATAAACATAACAAATGGGAAGCTATTGTTTATGAACACATGCAGCAGGCAGCACTTTAACTTATCCAGTCCTCATAAAGGGTTTTTAAAGGTGGTATTACTATCTCCATTTTGTACACAAGATGCCTGGGTAGTTCAGTGATTTGGACAAAGTCATAAAACTGGAATTCTTACGTGTTGTGTTTGTGTGTATGTGGGCACACTAACAGCAAGACCTCACTTTGGTCAAGAGAATGCTTCCGGGTCTGCAAGTTTCCGAATCTCTATATGGTCCTCAGCCAAAGTAACTGAAGTAGATCAGCAAGGGGCTCAGGAAAATTCCTAGGCCCCAGGGATTCTTAGGACAGCACAAATGCCATTTCTCTGCATCAGTGAGATCCTGGGATGCCCATCCTGCTGAACAGCATTAGGGAATCAACATGATTGTTTTTTGAAGGAGTGATTCTGGGGATTGAACCCAGGGCCTTTGCGCTGAGCAACATTGCCTGCCTTTTTAATATTGTTTTGGGACAGGGTCTCTCTAAGATGCTCAGGCTAGCTAATGATCCTCCTGCCTCAGCCCTCTGAGTAGCTGGGGTTACAGGTACGTGACACCAAGCCTGGGTTCCAGACTCAGTCTTTAATTTCTGCCACATAAAAGCCTAGTTCTTTCCAGTGCTAAGTTCTTTCCTCCTGCAGTTGTGTTGCCTCAAGCTGTTTAGGAGCCATTACCTATCTTGGCCTGGAGGGTGTCTCCTTATCAGTCCCTGAGCAAGGCTTGCTTAAGGCTTTTGTTGAGTCAACAAACGGCCTGAGGCCTTACCTTTGTGTGGAGTCTTTGCCACAGGCATGGTGCTCAATATCTAGACCAATTAAATTTCTTTCCTTAAATTTCCAGGAATCTTTTAGACAAAACAATGAGTTATCACCTCAGTTTAAAACTCCAAACATGATCTGTGCCTTAATACTGTTTTTTATCTGCTTTGATGTAAAAGAAGAATATTTGAAGCAAGAATCTCAGTATTCCAAATACACAATAGACATTTTCTTTAGCATTCATACAACATTCTCATTTGGGTTTATATAAATAGGCTATGCTATTTGTCCAGGGGAAGAGATTATAAAGATACAAAAATAATTTTTAGTCTCAAATGATGCTTTGTCAAGATATTTACCCAGGGCCAGGGATTTAGCTCAGTGGTTTCGCTGCCTGCTGCACAAGTGCAAGGACCCGAGTTCGATCCCTGGTATCAAAAAAAAGAAAAAAAAAAGATATTTAGCCATGTCAAATTCAAACTAAGTACTGTGTAATTATGTATAATGTTTTTTATTTAATTGAAATTAGACTAGATATATATTTTTAAATTTCCCATCTGGCTGGACAGTGTTCTCACTGAACTCACTGAAGATGTTTCCTTTGTTGTGTTAATATTGATGCCTGGGGGAAAAAAACTAAGAGGGCTGGGGATTTAGCTCAGTGGTGGCATGCCTGCTTTGTCAGTGCAAGGTCCTGAGTTTGATCCCCTGTACCCCAAAAAAACAAAAAGCCAAAAACTTAAGAAGAAAAAACCCTGGAATTTCTGGCTAAACTGGGATTCAAACCCACACCTTCAAATCCCTTGTCCATGGTCTTTCATGCTGAGTGCAGCTGCTGTTAGGTCCCTGACGCCTGAGAAACATCTGGGGAAGGAAGTTCCTTGCTTACATGCTGTGGGGGACCACTGGAAGAGTGGAAGCCCTGCTGTTTTTGTTTTGCTTTTATTATTTTTTTTACTTTTTATTTTGGTACCAGGGATTGAACTCCGGACCTTGGGATTGCGAGGCAAGCACCAGAACCACTGAGCTAAATCCCCGGCCCGTTTTGGTTTTCTTTATACTGTATCTCACTATGTTGCCCGAGATCATCTTCAACTCTTGGGGTTAAGGGATTCTGCCAACTCACCTGCCCAAGTAGCTGGGACTATAGACACCCATCAAATACCCAGATAACTATCTTGACATTTAAAACTATTTTCCATTGAATTTATTGCTTAATTTGGAAAGAACTGACATCTTTTCATTGTCAAGTTACGCCAACTATGATCATGGTATATATCTTTTCACCTGTCAGCCCTTACTATATATCTTTAGTGGATTTTTTTTTCTAGATTTTAGAATAATTCCTGTAAGTGAATTCCTAGATGCTTTATGTTTTTAGTTATTTTAATACAAATGTCATTTTTCAATCAGTTTTCTATTGGAGAAGAGGGTGCTGTCCCATGTCTGTGTTATGCACATCTGGGGCACTGGCAGCAACAGGCCTGCCAAGGGATGGGGTGGGGTGTGTCCAGTCACCGTGTCCTATGCACTCGGCATGGAGGAGTCATCAGCACAGGGGACCTGCAGAGGTCTTAGGTAAGAGGTTCAGATGGGACTGCAGGAAGTGACCTCACTTTCTGGGTAACAGAATTCCCACATTCCACCTGTCAGCTGGCAAAGGAGAAAGCAGGACATGCACCTGTGGTCTCCCAACCTGCCAAGGCTCAGACCTGAGATCGCACAGTGGGCACCGTGTCCACGAGTGGAGACGCTGGACCAGCCCTCACCCGAGCCTCTGGTCACTTCCCCCAGGGGCCCAAGATGGCACAGTGCAAGGTAGGGCAGTTCAGCACAGCCCTCCCACAACTCTGAGCCCACTTGGGGGGTCCCAGACACCTCCCCGGATGTGAGTGCAGAGTGTGTGTGTGTAGAGGAAAATTCTTTGGGAAGGAGTCGTTCTGCAGTTTGTTACCATTTCTGCGTCTGACCCCTCTCCCTTGTCCCACCGCAAGGTAAAAGTGAATTATTCCTCCTGGTTTGAACCTTCAGTGCAAGGACCCTACGGCCAGCTGCAAGACACTTAAAGAAGGCGGTGAACCACCTCGTTCATGCCTGCCCTACTGAGTGGTGAGCCCTCCTTCCTGCTTGGCTTTTTGCAAAGCTACAGATTATTTGGCAACACATAGCAGGTGCTGAACCTCATTCACCTTCACAAGGTTTGTGCTCCAATTCCAAGGCCAGAGGTAGCTCCTTTGGTCATGGGAACACCTTTCATCTTTCTGAGCCAGTTTGCTCTGAGGAAACATGGGCGCTTTGAGGACCCCCGCTGGCAAGACCAAGGGGAGGGAACCCTGTAGTGCCTGCCCTAGGCCTGCCACTGCCGTGGGTTTCCTGAGGCCATGTTGTTTGTCCACCTGGTGCGCCCTAGCTGGTGCCTGGGGCTGTGAATGTGGACCTCTCTGGTGTGACTTTTGCCTCCCATGAAGAAGTTCTCAGCCTCTGGATTCTCTTACCTGAAGCCTAGGGCAGAGCAGTTTCCCCAAGCAAGAAAAGTTTCCAGATTCCACCTGGGGCAAGGGAATCTCTATCCTGGATGTAGCCAGATCAGAAACACTGTTAGTCAACTCAGCAGGCAGGACCTACTGAGTTTTCTAGATGGAACTGGTTGAATACATTTACTGTCCAAACATACGAAGTACCTACTGTGTGCAGATTCATTTCTAGGTACTTGGTGTAATTCAGCGCAAAATTCAGGAAAATCCTGTCCCTGCTGGCCCACCCAGGTTTCAGCCAAGGCCACAAGCCATCACAGCAGATGGGACACCTGTATCACCTCCCCTGGGTATGGCTGCAGCCTCCCCTACCCCAGTGAGGATGGTGGGTCTTGGAAGAACTGAAAAAGTGAGTGGCTCTGAGTCAAGAGGGAGTCTCTTGTTTCCAGAGTGGGGACATGGGGGGTTGTTGTGGACTGCGTGCAAGGACAGACACCATGAGGAGGCCACGATCGCAACTCCTCACGGTAGCTCACTCTGTCTTCCAGATGTAGAATACACTTATTTTTGCTTTTATCCTTTCCTCTTTGTTCAGCCCAAGTTTGCTCTATAGGGCCAGTTTTTCCCTTGTCCCTTCACTCTTCACTCTTTAAACTTTTGGCACTGTTTTTAGCTTGTCTCATCCAGTTCTTTGTTTGAGGAAAGAAGAACCTGGAATACTTCTATTTGGAGAGCCATTTCTAAAGGAACTAACTGGTTCCAGCACCTGCCTCGCAAGAGCAAGGACCCAAGTTCGATCCCTGGTACCAAAAAAAAAAATCTAAAACCTAAAGGAACTAACTACCCAGGGAACAGTCGGAAGGCTGGGGCTCTGAGCTAGGCCCTGTGAAGATCTAGCACAATCACAGCCTTTAGAGCCCAGTGTGCCCCATTCCCCATGGGAACACTGAGCCTGTGTGGGGAGCAGCCTGTTCACACCTGGCCTCACGCCTTGCTGCTGTGTGCTCAGCTGGGGCCCAAGGCATGCTGTGTGCCCTTAGGAGAAGACTGAGTGGGAAGACAGGGCTTGTTCAGGTCCCACAGAGGCCAAGAGGGAGTGTAGCGGT